CATGATTTTTGTAGAAATGTAAAAAAATAATATTTATTAGGTAAAAGTAACTTTTTCATAAGGATATGAACACTAAGTAAAGATTAAACTCATTTTGACAAGTACATTAAATACTGAGTTGAGTGAAGTACATTGGGAGTATTTATTTATATTATTCATTTTGATTTTGTTTTTATGTGAAACTAAAACAAAATAAATTTTACTTTATTATACAGAAAATACACTTAAAGTTTATGTATAAAAACTTTTTTGCCTTTAATAAAATATTTTGCTTGTTTACGAAAAAAGTAACAGTAGATTAGAATGTAAATTTGCAGCAATCAATTTGGTTGTTGTTATTAATAATAATGATGATGATGAATGAATGAAAATTGTAATATTTTATAGAATTTTTTCTTCAAATTTTCTGCAAAATATTTTAACATGAATTCTATTTCTTGCAAATATAAATATGTAGACATTTTTAAGATAAATTGTCTTTAACATTTTACTAATCTAATCTCAACTCTGCATATTTACAAAAACTTTGCTTAATCTCAGACATTTTTTCTCCAAAAAATTAATCAGTATAGTAAATCTATTATCAAGAAAAGGAAATGTCTTCTTGAGTTTTAGTAATATTATCTCAGAAAAGAAGCCATTATTGAATACAGCAAAAAAATGCATTTTTCCAATTATACACTCATTTTTTTTTGTTGAAATAATATTTCAACTGTCAAAATCTGCTTCCTCTGGAGTGGCTACTAAAGTTTAGATCAGTTTCATTTAAATAAATACATCAATATGAGTGAGAGAATTTTTCCAGTTCTTATAAATTTCAAATAAATCTTTGATGCATTTTAACATATTTTATTCTAAGTTATGTAAAAAGTATTAAATTTTAAAATTATTTTTATATTTGGTAAATTTATATTATTTATTATAAACTTTCTGACATTGGAAATAATGAGTGGAAAAGTTGATTACAAACTCCATATCTGGTGGTAACATGACAATGTGGAAAAGAAAACTCATAATTTTCTATCAGTTTTGAACAGCAATTATTAGTTGTAAACAAATTTTATTTTCAAGTTTTTACACTACATATAAAAAAGCTTGTTTTCCTAAAACAGTTCTCAATGATGAGACAGCATGCTTGATACTTGCAAGGTTTAGAATGTACTTAGTTGCAAATATAAATGATTAAGTGCATACAACCCAAACATCACTGATAAGTGCATGGGAATATATGTATGGGATGAAGAATGTAGAGCAGAGAAAAGAGAACGAGAGAGAGAGAGATAATTTTTTTCAACTGATTATTAGAAAATAATCAAAATTATTCATACATACTATAACTATACTAAAAATAAAGGCAATTTATAATTTAAATCAAAAAGTATTTTTACAGATATTCATGGTTAATTTAAATTCAATGATATTTGATGATGTCATTTAACTTTCTGTGCAAAATGCAAAATTCAGTGCAGTATTTCTGATAAATATTATGAGACATTTATTTACAATTCTTTTTTCTAATCTTAAAATATATAATTGCTTTCTAAAGCACAATTAGTAGTAGTTTGAATTTATTGCTTTCATGCTGATATTTCAAATTTGGCTGTGTTGTTCATACCCTCAAAGTATCAGTACATTTATGTACTTATAAAATTTGTAATATCTAGTAAATATCTCTTCTCTCTCATTATCTTGATGCCAAATTAATTATATTTAAGAGAATGTTATTAAAAATTCACTTTATTTCACTTATGGACATTTTATAATTTATCAATTTCTTCAGATATGAGACAAGTGATGCAATTTTACAAATAATCATTCTTATTTAATGTATTCCTTGTCTAGAGTTCACTGCAAATTCAAATGTGCTAGTTAGTAATTTTTCTACAAGTGTGCAAGAATTGATGCTGAAAAAATACAAATTATTCTGAATGTAAAAGAAGCAGATAAAATTCTCAGCCATATCACAGGTAAGAAAAGAGCAAAAATATAATACAGGCAACTTTGGTAAGCAGACATAATTTACATTCACAATGAATGGCTGAAAATTGAAAACTTTCTTTATTGAATGGTTTTATTTTATACTAACTGCCTATTTCCTGATGTCATTTTTTCGGTTCTTGGGTTGTCAAATTTAGTCCATGCCTTGTTTATATCATTAATTCCTGAATCCAAACCGAGACATCAAGTTTCATAACTAAATTATTTTTCAAAATAGACAATGAATTAAGTCTGAAGAGGTGATGGATATTCTACCACAAAAATTTGTTCTTTAATACAGCAGATGGATTTTGACAAATTCATGTTTCACAATAAATATATTTTCATTTCTTTTAAAAAATTTTCTCAATTTTCTAAGCAATTTAGAAAATCTGTGATGAAAAAAGAAAAACGTTCAAGAAACTGGCTATAAAAAATGGAAAACAAATTACAAAATTAAAAGAATTATAAATGTTTGTTAAGTGAAAGCAAAAACTCTACGTAAACAAAACAAAGAAGAAAATCATCTTCATCATCTCCATAAAATTACTTTGAAGAAAATGCATAATTTACAGGTGTGGTGCAGAATAAAATGGCTATTTACAAAACCATTCATCTTATGATTATATATATTGATCGACTAAAATAGTCATTGTAGGATGTTGTTTTAATTTTCTCTCAAATACAACAACAATATTAAAAGATTCATTTATTGATGTTGATTTAAGTCACAAAATAAGAATAAAATCATATGAAATGAATAAACAAAGGTTTGTTTAAAGATACAATTATCCCAATTTGGCCATATTTCATTTTTGATTCTTTTCAAGATTTCATTTTATGAAGCTATTTCAAAACTTTTGGTCAATTCTGACATTATTAACAGAAACTGACATACATTAAAAAAATATGCTGGAATGAAAACTGCTTGAAAGTTTTCACTAAAAAGGATTTTTACCTTGATTTCATCTTTTAATTTTTTTTTGAAAAAATAATAAATAAAATATATTTAAAACGATTTTAAGTGAGCATTGAAATAAAAAGTGTTTTACAAAGAGAAAAGAAAACATTTTAAAAATAAAAGATTTAAAGAATAAAAAGGCACATTCAAAATGCACATCTGAAGACAAATTTATTACAAATATGGATTAATGATAAATAGAAATGTATTACATAAGTTCTAGCAAGTTACTGAAATTGCTTTATTGTATTTTTGCTTGTTTTTCACATATCTACTGATAAAATTTATTCTTTCACTTTTCAAAAGATCTGTTTGACACACATCTTCATAAACTAGAATTACAAATAATTTTTGGATTTTATATTATATGAATTGCTGTAAAGAAATTGCTTTTCAATAACTCAACTAATAAAAACAAATCTTGTTAATTACATGAATAAATTTTAAAGTATAAATATTATTCCTTTTTTGATATTAATTCTTCTTTATTATAGTTACTTAGGCTATTCTCAGAATTAATGCCAGATATAGTGTAAAACTTCATACATTTCCAGCAGATTATCTAAGTTAATACTTGGTAATATACAGGTTTTCAATCAGAGAATACTTATTTTAAATAAGTTATTCTTAATTTCATACAGTAATTTCAGAAAAATTGATAAAATTTTGATTTTTGGTAAAAAGTAAAATAAAACCAAATACAAACAAAATTAATTTTAAACCAATAAATATCTGAACATTGAATTAAATTCAGATTTTCCTTTTTTCATATACCCTTAATAATCACTTTGACTCATGTTATTTTATTATGAATTAGATTTTATTCTAGGAAACATTATGTGCCCTTTAAAAATCTAAAAAGTAAAGGTCATTTCTTGTAATTGAAACTTGCTTAAATCCCTAGACATAAGACAGAAAGTAATTGAAGTTTTCTTCACAAGACATTATATCTTCTCACATTTGATGAAAATCCATTATCTTATTGGATTACAGAAGAAAAACATTTCCTACAATTAAGTAAAATAAATTTGATCATAATGCTTATCACTTAATATTTATTGAAAGTAGCCATCTTTTCATTCCTAAAAAAGAAGATGCATATATATATATATATATATATATATATATATATATATATATAAAAGAAGATATATATATATATATATATATATATATATATATATATATATATATATAAGAAAGAAGATATATATATATATATATATATATATATATATATATATATGTATAAGAAGATGCATATATATATATATATATATATATATATATATATATATATATATAGAGAGAGAGAAAGAGAGAGGAATGTGCAAAAAATTCTTTACTCTTATTAATCATACTTTTGTAGCAAACAAAATGAAGCTCATCTGTTCTGCTTGCAAACTTTAAAAATCACAAATTTATACAATTATTATTGATTAGTCACAATTGCTCACATAAAACTACTCAATTAAATAAACTTATTTATTTGTGTCAAAACAAATTTAAATCCAGACATTTTTCTGAACCAAAAATTGTAAAATGGCTTCTGTTAAATGTCAATATTTTTAATCTTTTCTTGCAGTTGTGGAATCTGTGCATACATATCATCCATGAGAGATTAATGGTAATTTTTGAAAGTGTGTTGAAGATTTTTGGTGACATAAAGATGTGGCTCAACAAACACTTCCAAACCAAATGAAAAAATGATAAAAAAAGAAAATAGTTTGTGTTTTAGAACTGTATACTGTTTTATCAATAACCACAAGAACAAGAAGTGGAATTCAAATTATTTTCCTTGCTTGCCTTTTAAGACCAGCAACTATAAGCATGTATATAATTTTATAAATTGTTCTCATATCAGTAATAGTTGACATGGCATTTCTTTTGTTTCTTTGTTCTTCTGTCCATAGAATCATTGAAAATGCAGACGTTTGCTATTCATGATATTTTCCCTTGTTCATTTTTCTTTGGCTAAAGATGCAATCATTTTTAATGTCTCTTTTTTTCATAATTTTTCAGCAAGTTTAAATGGAGTCCTTTAGCAAATATCAGCAACAATTCACTGAACATCATTCTTGATCATTGGATGATAGGCATAGCGGGTTGCACCAGGACTACTAGTGTGAGAAATGTAGGTTTCATATAAATGAGAAGTTCGTTCTTGAGAATCTGCAAAATTAAAGAAAAAAGACACTGAAAATTTTTAAAGAATAATGTATGAAAAAAACTATATATAGTATCTTTTGGTAAAATAACCAAAAGTTAGGGGACATCTTCTGGATTTAATAATTGGCAAGTTTTATATGTTTGGTCTAATTAACTCCTTCTAAGCTAGGCTGCAAAAACTATTTAACACATTAGTGCATAATGTCCAAAATCTTTAGAGATTATGCAAGCCCACTCTTTTTTTAAAATCTGCCAACCAGCAAAGTAGATTAGTCAAAAAGAGCTTAAATTTTAAGGAAACTTTATGCAGTGATGAGGTAATTTCATTATTATTATTATTATTATTATTGAATATATGATAAAACCCTTCAAAAAGAAAATCTCTCTGGCCCAAAGTGAGATAGCAAATTATTTTTGAAAATGCACACAACTTTCAATTTTTATGTGATTCTCCAAAATCCAGAAAGTAGTCCTAAAAATTTTGGCCTATTGTTTATATATTTTAATAGACACAAGGGAATTATTACCTTCAAGATCATTTAAATATTTGATGATAAAAATTCAAAATCCAACAATGGCAATACATGAAATGATAAAAATTTCAAATTCATAATATGCTAAAATATATAAATATATGCTTTGAAAATATACTACACACACAGACACAGACACAGACACACACACACATGCATATAGATAGATAGATAGATAGATAGATAGATAGATAGATAGATAGATAGATAGTCAAGAAAAGATATGTTTTTTAAATTTATTGTACATATTTTAAATGGGTAAAATGGTGGAATGAAACATAGGAAGATTGTATTATGTTCTTGCAAGTAGAGATAACCTGTCTGCTTTTAAAATCTGAATTTTAACACTGATACTAGTAGGAAATACACAGCTGCTTCTATCACCCAGTATTCTTTATATACTTATATTTAAGTTTAATTCAAGCATTTTCAGTAGAATCTTTGGCATCTTTGCTAAGGAAATCTTAGATGTATCTGTTTATTTAACACTTTAATGCTTGAATATATAGAAAAGCATGCAAAATCTACAAAATCAAAAAAGAAGAAAGTACAAATGACAATGCAAAAGCTAGGCTTGTTATATTAGCAACAAGCTCCATAATTAATGAACCTAAAAGAAATTTAGCTAATCACAATATAAAAGTTATCCTAAACACTTCAAAAACAGATATAAATTTTAGCAATATCAAGTAGAAAGCAAACTTTATATCAGAAGTGGAATTCTACCAAATATAATGTCAGCAATGCCCACCCCCCAAATACATTGCTGAAACATCCCAAGCTTTAAAGTATATATGAACATAACAGGGTGTTAAAATTAATCAGTAAACTCTATGCACTTATGTGTCACCAAAACCATCATGATCATAAATTTGACCTGAAAAATGCCATTTTAACAAAAGAATTAATATAATTTACTCAGATAAAGATGTATTTAAAGTTTCATGAACAACCAATCCTCTATGATTAACTGGGCTATTTCAGTTTATCACCTGTTCTTATTAAATTAATACTGAAACAATATGGGATACATAAACTTTGAGAAAAATAAATAAATAAAAACAAAAATTAAGTTCAAATTAGAATCTAATTTCTATAAAAATATAGATAGAGCAAAAATCAAACTTTCTGTTGCTGAACATGAATGAAGTTTTGTCTTACTAATACAGATTTTATTCTTGTGAAATAAAATTCTTTTTCTGATGATGCCAGTTTATCAGCAAAACATTCAAAATAGACATTTTCCATATTGTCAAATATATCTCTTTGATTTGATAATTATTTGTAAAGAAGTGACAATTTTATTTTGTTTAAAATTATGGCTGAATATAAAATATACATTTCGAATATTTATGTTTATTGTTTAAAGGAAGATGTAATATAAACAATACATAAACTTATTAGTAAAATTAGGTCCTATTTCTCTTCTTGCTTCAGAAATAACATTTTTAGTCAAGATATTTACTAGCAATAAAAATAGATTTATTTTTAGAATCTAAAAATAAACAGAACCTCAACAGAATCTTGAGGGTGAAATTTCTTTGTTGATATTCAAACTAAATTAAGAATTGCTGGAACCAGAAGAGAGTGATTTGTATGGTTGAATAATGTGATGAAACAGTAAAGTCCTTTCTCAAGGCAACAAAGTTGACCTCTGATTTTGCTGTGTAACCACAGCTGTCCTTGTCCTCTTCAGACTGTTAGCTTCTGCCTATGCATCACTCCTTGTCTGGCCAGTAATTCCAACAAGTTCAAAATATTGAAAATTTTCTTGAAAATTCATCAAATCAAAACCAAAATTGTTCTTTTATAGTAGAATACCCAATTTAGCTAAAAGATAGTATTAGCTCATAAAAATTCAAGGAAAATGCTTTAATGTTTGATAAACGATTTATATGAATAAAATATTTTGTCAAAATTTCTGTGTATATGATAATAAATTTCTTACAAATTTGGTATTGCTACCCACCTTGAAATTTTTTTTCAGCAGCTTCTGCATAGCTTCTTTCTCTTTCCAGGTCCTGATTGTGACAGTCTAAAATCAAAAAAGATCACCAGTAAATAAAAATTTTCCATTATGATGAAAAATATTTTAAGATTATTATCAATGATTTTGGATTTTTCAAATTTTCAAGTATTAAAAGTTTTTCAACATTTACTTGGTGATACAATTATTAAAAATATGAAATACAATTTTGATTTTATTTCCAAAAGTTATAGTTCATGAAGAATCAAAAAGATTGTCTGGTGAATTTTTTTGTTTTTCCAGTCTGTTTTGGATGAAATTTTACTGATATATTTCTTTCATTGAGTCTATGAAAAAATATCTATAAAAACACCAACTTCTCTTCCAGAATTTGTGAACGCTATGTAAATTTCATTGTACCTTACAACATCAAACAGAAATAATGAAGTGAATTTTATATTTTATCTATCAATTTATTAGAAGTATTTATATTCTTAAAAAAGTGTTCATATCAGAATACTGTAATTTAGTTTTGTCAAATCATGTAAAAAGTATTTAATATCATATGTGAAAAGTTATAAATTATGGGACCTTGAACATAATTTGAATGCATTTCAAAATCAATTTTAGATTCATATAAAAATGATTTCAATATTTTATTTATTATCAATTTTATTTCTAGTCAAGTTATATCTTTTCAAAGTTAAAATATTGTTTTTGGCTTTTATTTGCAATTTTTTGTGTTCAACTTGTTAAAATGTAAGAATTATCAAAATGAATGTCAAAAGATTTGTATTTCTTGGTCAATGTAATTCTGAAATAAAATATAAGTATTGATTAATGAATAACAATACATAATATGAAGCTTTTATGAAATTTGAAGAATGTATTTGATAAAAGTTTCCTTAAAAGAATTTTTCTCTCACCATTTGTATTGATCATATTGTCATTTGGAGGAGTTGACATGTGTTCACTTGGAATCATGCTACTGGTACCTCTTTGTTCAATTATTTCCATTTGGTCTTGGATTTTCCTTCGCGCTTTCTTCTCTTTTTTCAATCGCTTCTGTAGCATTACTACAAATAAAACGCCATTTAAAAGGTTTAATTGTTGAGAAAATATAAAACACTGAAATGAGTGAAATTAACAGTTCACAGTTTGTTGTAAAGAAAAAAGCAGAAAAAAAGTAAGCAATATTAACCAATTACATAATGTTATTATGATGCCAATGATTTTAACTCATTTCAAATTTCTTTTTAATAAAGACTAGATAATTCATTGTAATGTATAACATTAACGAGTTCAAAATATTTTGCAGATATCAATTAAGTAAAATTATTTAAAGAAATGATGCTATTCAATTTTGGTTTTTGTGTCCCAAGGCTAAAATACTGGAATAATATGAGAAGGTTAAATTCAATGATTCTTACAAATTCCATTTTAAATCTACAGTTTTTGAAATTTTAATAAAAGAATGTGAAAACTATTAAATCAAAGATAATTTTTGATGGAAATTTAATTATATTAGGATTGATTCTTATTCTACAGTAATGAAAAATAATTTAAAAAATACTATGTTAATAATTGTATAAATTATAGATTTTATGTTAAATGTAAGATGTTAAGAAGTACTTATAATTTATGAAAACATAAAAATAAATATTGTAACTAGATTTAAATTCAAAAACAAAAACAAACTGAGATAAAAAGAAAATGTTTTATTATTAACAAATCAAGCAATAAGGAAAATATTTTGAGTGGTAGTGAACCATTCACAGAAACAATTTGTAAATGTCACTTAAGGTAAATGCCCAAATGGGGTTGTCACCACAAAGAGTTTATAAAGAGATCTTTCTGCAAAACAGTGCATCTGCACATTACTCACATTTTATCAGAAAGTTTTTGGATAGAAAATTATGAAATTTATGGTTTGAAAGATCAATATTTTCTTTGGGGCCAAATTAAGAATGCTGTTTACAACAGAAAATCTGAAACACTTCAAGGTTTAAAAGATTTCATTGAAGAAGAGGCAGGTTTGATTACAGCTGAATGGTGTGAAAATGCTATTCAAAAATTTCATGAAAGTTTGAAATTTTGCATTGACAATAGTGGCTCATCTGTTGAGAAATATTTATGTTAGTTATTGCTTAGTTTGTTTAAATGTTCCTTTATATTTCCTTTTGCTTTTCTTCTATAATCTGGGTTTCAAATATTGTTGTTATTTTACATCCTGTATTTTGGAAATTCATAGATTTTGGTTCAAAATAAATAAACATCAATTAAAATAGATAAATCTTTCTTTATATATTCACAATTTTTTTTCCTTTCATTTGTAAAATATTTTTTAAAGGTGAAAATTACAAATTTTTTACATGGTTAAATTTATAATTTGTTATTTGAATATCTAGTAAAGTATTACTGTCATGATTTTTATCCACAAATATCAAATTATAAAACTTTGTTACACAAAGTATCAACTTTAATTGCTTTACAACATCATATGTGATTAATTTATTAACCCCGACACATAACACAATGTTCCTTTTAAAACTGAACATGAAATAATTCATTGATTATCTTCATATGACCCACCAAAAACAATAAAAGTAAAGTTCAAATATTTTAAAGGTCACAAAAAAATAAAAAAATGAAGCCAAAACCTGGGATGGAATCAGATTGGCAGATAATTAGTTATTTAAAAGTTACTACCAATAATGAATAAATACCTAGGTAAATGTCTATGAGCAAAAAATGCTGGAATTTTCAAATACCTAAACACCCCCCCTCACAAATTCTCACATACTAGTCAAGACATTTTTCAGGTTTGTTTTTTAAAGATAAGCAAACTTTAAAGCAAATTTGCTGAAATAGACTTGGTTATATCAAAGCAAAAACAGACCCAATAAAAATATTTATCATATTAAAAACTCTTGAATATTACATTTAGGAATCAGTCAAATTTCAATGAAGGTGAGAGAGAAAAGAAAAAAACAAACACGCAACTAAAAAAAAACATTTAAAAGAGGAGAAAGAATTATAAGATTAATGTTTTTATAGGCCATAAGATAATAAAACCTAAAATATTTTAAATTATGAAAATTCAGATTTTGTTGAAAAGTTGAATTTTTTAAACTGGTAAATATAAAGTGTCTGATTAATTCCTCAGCAATTCTTTATAAGTATTCTTCATTTAGAGTGTTTTTCATTGAATCTTTGACATGCCACACAATTTGTGATACTTATGCCTTGGGTTAGATCAAATAATTATCATTAAACAGCCCTCAATTGTAACACTGATTTGTTTTACCACTAACACTTAATAGAATAGAGGTCTATTTGTCTTCATAAAAGGCTTATACAAATATAAAGGTGGACTGAGATCAAATATAGATCAAATGTGGATTGGATTCTGACAGATTAATAGGATAAAAAACAAATAAGAAATGTTTATCAATCTAACGTGTTTCACTTTTGTTAAAGCTTCATCAGAGAATGAGATAAGGAGAAAAAGAAGAAAGAAACACAAAGGTATAAATAATGAGAGAATATATTTATTTAAATTTAAAAATACTGTAAAGTGGAACAAGTTGGTTTACAATAACAAAAACAAAATTGAATTAATATTGAAACTAAATTATGGAAATATTTACTCACCTCGTGTCCGCTGTTCATCCATTAACTGTTTCTCCATATTTTCCCTTAATTCACGTTCTCTTAATAAATCCATCTTTAATTCAGCTACACAGAAAAGAAAAGATTTATGTGAGAATAATAAAGTGTCATGAATTTATTTAGTAGAAATTATATGGAAAAATTGACTGGAAAAATAGCAAAACTGAAAATGATATATTAAATCTGACATAAAATAAATTTAATCTCTTGATTAAAAAAAAAATATCGATAGATTTTCAAAAAGTGTAAGATTAAAAAATTTGGGGATATTTTGTATTATAGTTGTTTATTTGAGAAACAAACAAAATATATTGTAATGTATTTCCTGAGATTTAAGGTTTAAGAGATTTAAACAGAGAAATAGCAGAAATATTTTTATTATATCTATCCTCATTTTTAAAAGAGAAAAATTAGATATTTTTTACATAGGAATGAATTAAATAAAAAACAGAAAATTATTTAGAATAAATGATAAAGTTATGTTTCAAAAAACTAATGTTGGTGAAAGCTTTACTTTAATTATTTTTTGTTTAAAAAGTACTTGCTACTTCAAAATAAAGAATTCATTTTTTTCTGAATGAAAATAAAAATTCTTCTGTAAAAATGTTTTCCCCATTAAATATAAAGCTAAATTTTGATTTTCAAATCCTCAAAAGTGACATAATAAATCTGTTGAAAGTGATTTTTGAACTACATCTCATATACAAATATACATACATACATATATATATATATATATATATATATATATATATATATATATATATATATATATATATATATATATATATATATATATATATATAAGATTTTTTTCAGAAATTAAAATTAAAATTAACATTTTCATTTTATAAAATGAATATATATTATTAGCATTTAACTATTTTTTAACAGATTTTATTTTGGGGATTTAAGTAATAGAAATTGATTATAAATCACAAATATTTATATCGTTTCTTTAATTATTTAATAAGGTGATCTATTTAAAATGTTTGATTTTTATATTATTTCTTAAAAATAATTTTCACTTCCAGGGCTAATAATAATTGAATAGATCCATTCAGAAAGAAAAGAGATTTACATTGTTTTTTATTTCAAAATGAATTATGCATCTCAATTTTCTTTTGGAAAGTATAAAAAAGAAAGTAGATAAACCTCTCTCTCTATCTAAAAATTAATTAGAGAAATAATTTAAATTTTATGCAAGCTTCTTATATAATAATTGACTATAAATATGATTAATATTAAAACAATAATAAATTAATTAATAATAAATAATGATTTATAAATATAAATATTTATATATATAAATATATGAATATATGAATATAAATATATGAATTTGGGAAGGAAGTATTCATCCAAACAAGTTTGATTATAAAGAACCAACAAGGTTGGTGTGTTTAATTTTAATTGTATTTTCCAATTTAAGAATAAAATATAGAGTATTGTGCTCATTGTGGATAAACTGTCCAAAGTTCATAGTTTATCCAGAACAACAATAAACATAATGTGCTAACCATATTCGGGAATTAAAAACATCTCTACAACACACTAAAACATACACATAATGCACACACTCAATTAAGCTGAAAAATTGAATCATCCTTGATAATGGCTAAAGGTATAGCCAAAAGCACTCAGAACTACAAAATATTTGGACAGTTTTTACACACTCTTTGTCCAGAAAAGAAAACTCTTGTTCAAACACAAGAAAAATTAACACACACAGACATATGCACATATATATATATATATATATATATATATATATATATATATATGTGTGTGTGTGTGTGTGTGTGTGTGTATATATGTGTGTGTATGTGTCTGTGTGTGTTAATTTTAAAGTGGTCTGTTTTTATTCAAACATATTTGCTCTGAATTTACATTGAGCTCTCCGGATATCATCCTTCTTGGGTCTACCCATATGGATTACCTAGTTTTGCATAAACTAAATATATATATATGTATATATATATATATATATATATATATATATATATATGCACATTTCATTGAATACAATAGACAAGGTGCTTTTATTTAGTTTGTTATACAATTTCTCATGCAATCTAATAATTTTTTCTTTTCAGATGATAAATTATATAAAAACTGTCCAAATGTTCTTTTTATCCAAGCACTTTTGGCTATAAATTTAGCCATTTTCTAGGATTTAATATTTTAACTGTTAAATATATATATATATATATATTTAACTGTTAAATATATATATATATATATATATATATATATATAGGTACATCAATGTGTCTGTAGTGTAATACTAAATATCATTTATAGAAAAATGTTTACATTATAAATATAATATCCTCCTCTTTTGTCAATTAACTTAATTCAGTGATGAATATTAATCACATACTTCAACCATTATACAGTGACAGTTTCAGATCAGAATTCAGTAAGTCATACTGTGGAATTTTTGACTCAACGATACAATCTTTAACACGCACACACATGCACACACACACACATTTGTGTGTGTGTGTTTGTACCTTAGTTTCTTTAAGTTTTTACATAAATTCTTTTATAAAGATATAAAAAATCAAACAATTAAAAGTCACATTAGTTTGGAGTCTATCATTAACATATATAAATCTAATATTTGTTAATGAATTCAGTAGATTTATCCAATACTTTGTTTATATGTGAAAGTTAAAGTTGGTTGCAAAGTTATGTCCTTTTGAACTTTTCTTCATGTTTTTATATATATATATATATATATATATATATATATATATATATATATATATATATATATATATGGTATATTTATGAGTTAAAGTGCTTGATATCAGGGGTAGAGTATATGTAAATATGAAAGTGGACATTGAGGTCAACACCCAGAAGTTACAGTCTGTTTCATGCTTAAACACTATGTGTGTGTGTGTGTGTGTGTATTTGGACAGTAATCTCACTAAAGATGACTGACAAGTTACTACTAAGCTTTTTATTATATTTTTCTTGCAAGCATACAAAAGTTTTCTTTTTGGGACATAGAGTGAGTAAGAACTGTGCAAATGATCTTTGGATCTGAGATCTTTCAGCTAATCTATTAGTCATTATCAAGGATATTTTGGCTTGTCTTAATATTATGGAAGTGTCCTTTTATAGTAATAGAAATGCTTTATTTCACAAACACAGTCTGCACATTGTATGTATGTGTATATATATATATATATATATATATATATATATATATATTTAATGCTTAATTATTTTCAGTATGTGCTTGGACAGATTTTACTTACATATAAAAGAATTTCAATTTTCATGCAGATGTTATTCTATAAGTTTACAGTGATATGTGTAGATTTGTGCATTACTTATTGAGTCCATCTGTAGCAATCTAATTAGTTTGTGATATTGAATGTGAATAAGAGCCTAGATGAGATAAATATTGCTTGCTTCAGTAAGACTCCTATAAACTAACTTAGAATGTGTAAGTGCCAATAAATGTCAGATTGTGTCCCTTACATTGTGTACAGGTCATAGGCTGTAGTCCGTTTAGATATTACTACAAGACAAAATCTACCCTGAGTGGTTCCACTCAACAGACTGTGTCTTGAATTGAAATTACCATCATGATATTACCATAAATATGAAATTCTCTCCTCATTAGATTGATGTTATGAAAAGGGTATCTACAAAATTGATATGTTTCAGTTTAAGGGTTAGGAGTCAAGGAGAATTTGGTAATATTTCATTGAGGAATATTTATCAAAATGAAAGCCACAACATGAAATATTGGATGGGTATCTATGGAAAGAGTGCTGGACAACAAGAATCGAAGTGCTGTAGTAAAGCTATAATGAAGTGTCACAAGTGCCAATCGCTGAAATGGATTATAGCATTTCAGACACTTTTATGGACACTACATTATAGTATTGATCTCTTCATAGTTATTATCCACTTACTGCTGCCTGTGAGAGTGAATAGTTGCAAGATTTAGATTGGATAACTGTTCACTGCTAAACACACATTCTGCCAACTCTCCACAATTATCACAGAGATGGCTTCATTGGCAGACACAGCAGTTGAACAAAAACAGGTTTGGCAGCTGAACAGCCATACTACAGAGGTGAGAGGCCAAAGCCATGCTCATTTTTCAAAATGTGAAATAATTCCCTGACTACATGAAGAGACAGGAAACAGAAATACGAAAGCTTTCTTTCTTCATCTTTTTTTTCCTATTGTATCCTTTACCCACTTTAATTTTGTCCTTTACCTTCCCATTTTTCTCTTTATCACTTGATCATCTTTTTCTAACATCCTTCTGTTTTCCCTCCATTTTCTTTCATTTCCCTTCTTTTTCATCTCAATTCTCATTACCTGTCTATCCATCTTTTTCTGTTACAATCTATTTTCGTTTCCTTTACCCTTACCCATTTTATTTGACAGACTAAGCTGGTCAACCATCAATGTTTTACTTGATGGGAATGTAGGACAAGATGAGATAGGATGGGATCAAATCTGATATTTTATGACTTCTACAAGACCCTTCTTGTAAATACTAGATGTTCATTTGAGTTGATAGCCTATTTTCACGCTTGACTAGTCTGGCTAAATGTTGTAACTTGCTGCCAGACTCCCCCCCCCACGATACCAATCTATAGCCAACATGATATTAGTTTTGAGATGGAGAGAAGGATTCTAACTTGAGTATTTATTGCTTCCATTAAAGTATGGTGTCCCATCAGGCAAACAGAGCCTGCATTCAATTGGTCACCTGAGCCATAATTAAGATATTTACGTGCTCATGTCACCTTGGTGACACAAGCCTTGGATAACACAATAGCAGCAAAGAAACTTTACAGAGGAAAAAAGTAATTAAAACTGATGCAGATGACAAGCTTAGTTATGAAGCAGCCTCTGCATGCCATAAATGTAAGCCCCAATTCAGAGAAGTTTTGATGAAGTTTTGATGACGGGATTAGAAATTTTCATTTGAGAAAATTGGTCCCAGAACCAATATGAAACAGCTTTTATCACAGAATTGTTGATTTGTTAGCAATGAAACTAGAGATGTTTTAGAGGATTGGAAT